ACTGCTTACATTTAATTTATTTTTATTAGATTTTTTTATTTATTTCTAGTTATTTCAGTTCCATACAACATTTCAAATTTTCATTTAGGTTTTTCATTTCCGAAATTTCAATTAACAAAAATGTCAATAGTTTTAGTTTTTGTAAATGATAATAACCGTTTCATTAGAGCAACTCTTTTTACATAGCACATTAAAAATGTTTAAACATTAAGAATTACTTTTAATTTATTTCTGTTTCAGTTTTTGATTTATTTCCAGTTAGTAATTTTGGTGCTTTAACTAAAACAAATGTTTTAATGATTTTAGTTGATGATAATGACCCTGCTTCTTACCGCTCATTGTTGAAAATGCATTTTCAATTATCAGTGCAATTTTGGATTTCTCTTTTTTTTTTAATCACTCCATAAATCAGAAAATACTGTCAACAGCCTGAAAAAAATACAATTTGTGAAAACCTGAAAACCCAGCTAAAGTCATTTTTTTGTGATTTACGGTTTTCTACATAAAATAATCCTTCATAAAGATGTAGAACATTGTGAAAATATAACCTTTATATCTTTAATATTGACTGAGTAAGGCCATATCAAAGATTGGAATCATAGTGAAATTTAACTTTGATGCTTGTTATCTCATAATTAGATTGAGACTTTAGCCTGGATTTCACAGACAGCGTCACATTTCACCACGTTTTTAGGAATAAAATAAATCAGGCAAATTATATACGAACAAACCCTTTTGCAAAACCCTTCAAAATATAGATAGAAATAAAAATGTATTGTAACTGAAATCTACAGATGCATATAGATAAAGTGTAATGAAATAAACACTTAAACGTGCATTTTGTATGTTTGCTTCACTTTAGTCTGAATGTTATGGAAGCAAATTAGCCAAAAAACTCAAAATTGTGCAGTGCATGAAAAACAGTGCTGTTTGATATTCTGCAGAACTATAAATCGAGGGGATCTGGTGGAATACATCACAACACACTACAAGGGCCCGAGGATTGTATTAGCTGCAGCCGGAGGTAAAGCAGCATCACTGAACGTGTGCACGTCATGTCCTTTGGTTTAACTGTTAGCTCTGTTACTGGCTCAGAGTTTGACCTTTAATAAACCAGCACTGTTACTCCGTCTTTCAGGAGTGTCACATAATGAGCTCATCGATTTGGCTAAATATCATTTTGGAAAGCTGCCGGCTAGATACAGCGGAGAGACTTTACTGCCCTGCCATTTCACCGGCAGTGAGGTAAACAGACTTCTTATAATTATAATTCATTACACATAGGAATATTTTGGGTTAATGTGACAACCCATCAGTTATGACAGAAAATAATTAGCATTCATTCCTCACTTTGTCAAAATCATGTTGACAGTAATGCACTTACATTAGACGTTTCTTAGGCTTCTGATGTAAGTGTAGTATTGTAAATGCAATTCGATTCTCTTTACGAACTGAGGGACTGTTATTAAAGTGCCCATATTATTTTCGTCATCTGCCAGAATACATTTGATTAAAAGTTCAAAATAATTTTTGAATACTGTACATTGTTGCAGCACCTCTTTTCAAAGCTGTTTTAGTTCCTGTCTCTTTAAACCCAGCCTTTCTGAAAAGCCAAGGCAATTTATTTTTATTTTAGTTTGTTTTTATTTCCATTTAGTAATTTTAGTGCTTCAACTTCAACTTAATTCATTTAGTTGCTAAGGCAACATTTCTCATTAAGTTTTTCATCTAATAATTATTTTATTGTAGCCTTAATTCAATTAACAAATGTTTTTCATAGTTTTGTTAATGATGATGATCCAACTTCCTTATAGCTTGTTGCTGAAAATGCTTGTTCATTAGAGCAAGTTACAAGTTTTCTGAAATGTTATGTTTAATATATAAAAACAGGGCATTATATAATTATTATATGCACTCATTTTCATATATTTCCAGAACATAAATCTGAACATTGAATTAAACCAGGTTCAAATTCTTTTGTTTACATTTTTTTATGATGTGCTTTTGTTAATTAGTTTTTGATTTTTAAAAATATTACTATTTACGTTTATTTTCATTAATAACCAGAAATAATGGCAGGACTACAAACGAGGCGTTTAAGGCAGCTGAACTCATGCACAAACACACGAAATAAGCAAAACTTACCTGGAGTTGTGCTCTCGATTCCTCACAGATCCGCGTGCGAGATGATAAGATGCCTCTGGCTCATATAGCCATCGCCATGGAGGCCGTCGGCTGGTCGCATCCAGACACTATCCCGCTCATGGTGGCCAACACGCTCATGGGGAACTGGGATCGCTCGCTCGGTGGCGGGATGGTAGGAGGTGCTTTCACTAAACCGTTACGCTGAAAAAGACCTGAAACACAACTAACCGCACCTTGTTTTCCGTCAGAACTTGTCCAGTAAGCTGGCCCAGATGGCGTGTCAGGGGAACCTGTGACACAGCTTCCAGTCCTTCAACACCTGCTACACCGACACGGGCCTGTGGGGGCTTTACATGGTGTGCGAACCGGGAACCGTCAGCGACATGATGCACTTCACGCAGCTGGAATGGTGAGAGCTCCACGTTCACTGGGCTTTCTGTCGAGCTGAAAGATGAGCAACTAACACCCGGTTTCCTTTAGGATGTCTCTGTGTACGAGCGTGACTGAAAGCGAGGTGAACCGAGCCAAAAACCTGCTGAAGACAAACATGCTGCTTCACCTGGACGGTAAGAGCAACGGGGTGCAATAAACAGGGAACACAATTCGTCAATATGTTCTCTGAATGGAATGTTTCTCTTGGAACTTCCAAGAGATCTCTATTACTTTATTAATTTTACAGACATGACAAATAGAAATAACTAGAATATGGAAATAATGTTTACTTTAACTTCTGATCACACTGCAAAAAAATGTTTTTGTCTTGTTCTCCAGTGCAAATGTCTACATTTTCTTAAAGATAGATTCAAAAATTATATATATATAGGAAGTGTCGTTTTCTGAGAAATGTATCAAAATGTCTTTTTTTTTTGGTCATAAATGACAAATATCTGCCAATGGAGTCAACTTAATTCAAGGAAAACAAGTTTTTATACCCCATTGACATATTTGTTCTTGTTTTAAGCATAAACTCACTAAATTGTAATTTCTCAAAAAACAACACTTCATATCTTCGTTTGCATCTTGCATGTAAATGTATCTTGATTTAAGGATGTTTAGATACTTGTACTGGAAAACAAGACAAAAATACTGACAAAGATATTAATTTTCTGCAGTGCGTGCAACATTTAATGCTGTAACGTTACAAATGTAAGACTTTATTTTGTGGAAGGGCGATTTAAGACTTTTTAAGACCCACAGAAACCCTGAATAAAGTGATCAGTTTTGGCGTGTTTGTGGTGTCTAGGATCCACTCCCATCTGTGAGGACATCGGCCGGCAGATGCTGTGTTACAGCCGCAGGATTCCTCTGCACGAGCTGGAGGCCAGAATAGATGTGAGTAAATGTACATGCTGACCTTTGACCTGACATCTGACCCATTCAAGTGCTTTTCTAGCCTTATCCAGACACGAGCTGTTTCTCATGGGGACGACTGTAAAAATATGATTGCTTAAAATTCATGCATTCAGTTTATTCATGGTGGACAAGCGAGTTTTATGATCCTGCAAACACGGGAATGTGTTTATTACATGGTCTGACTGTAATCTGCAAACAGAATGTCTGTTATTGCTTGGACTATTAGTTATAATTAATTATTATTTAACAATAGGAAAATAATATTCTATTATTTGATTTAAATGTACTGTTCAAAAATAGGAAACTGACTTTGGTTTAATCGTCTTGCATTTTCTCTCAAAATGATGGATGTTATTATAAAAGTGGAATTTAGCAGAAATAAGTTAGTAAATAAGAGTTAAAAAGTCTATTATTGCTTGTACAGTAACATTTATATTTAATTTAACAATAGAAAAATAATATCCTATTTATCATTTAAATATTCCTTTAAATTTTTCTATTAAAAATAGGGAAAATTACATGCTATTATTTAAATGGTTTTCTGTCTTGCATTTTTCTCTCAAAATGAAGTGTTATTTTAAAAATATAAAAAATTTGCAGAAATAAGTTAATGCAAACTCTTCCTTACATGAAGTATATGACCCAGCTACTTTTTCGCCTCGTATAATTGGTTATGCAGGACTTCATATAAATATTTTTACATTTTTGCTTACCATAATAATGGTATTTATTTGTTATATGTTTTTTTTCTTAAAAGCTCCCACTTACTGTAGTGACCGTATTATTCTTGTAAACCGTGTCCGGATAAAAAAAATAAAAAAAACCGGTATGTTATTTGGTCAGGAATTTTTATGTGGGTGGTGGAAGGAAAAACACTGTCATTTGGGATTAAAAATGAAAAAATAAGCAATTAAAAAATCAAATAAATAAATCACAGACTCGCCCCTGTAAATGCTGAAATGACCTTCCATCCCTGTGAGAAACTATTAGCGTGTGAACAGGGCTTTAGTCTCAATTCTGCTTCTCCTCCTCTCAGGCCATAGACGCCACAACCATCAAAGACGTGTGTATGAAATACATCTATAATAAAGCTCCTGCTATAGCAGCTGTTGGTGAGTATTCATATTTTCTCTATAATATCTGATATTTTCCCAGCTCTGGTCCTGGAGGGTCTTCATAACCAAACACGCCCGATTAAACTCATCAGCTGGTTAGTAGACACTCCAGGACCTGAAAGAGAGCAGAGAGATGGGAAACGCTGCTTTCAGTGACTGATAAGCAAATACTTGATGTTTGCAGGTCCGATCGAGCAGCTCCCGGACTATAACCGCATCCGCGGCGGCATGCATTGGTTTCGGCCGTGAGGAAGTGAAGCAGCACAGCGTCTGCGCATTAACAGTCACAAAAACAAGAGAATTTATGATGTGCTTTTTTCATGTTTATTTTATTATAAAATAAAGAACAACACAATAAAGTTAAAAGACCATGTTTGTGTGTGTTTTCTTTCCCTGCAGCACTTTCGTCATTTCTTGTTTTTAGCAGTGACCTGCTCCTGGGCGGCTTTCTTAGCCTTTATCATCTCCACCAGCTCCTGCAGAAACACAGAGAGAAGCACATCAACATCTGCACATAGAGATCAGCATTTACATTATGATAAGTGTGTGTGTTACACACAACGTTATAAGATATTTTTTAATTTTATTAATTATTATTACTATTAACGTTATTAATTAATAATAAACATTAATAATAATTACTACTATTAAAAAATTTTTTATTAATTAAATGGCACCTTCTAAATCTACATTATTAATCAGCATGCATTATAAGAGTGTTACAGACATAAAAATGATTATAATTAAGATTTATAATTTATTATTATTATTACTACAACCATTTAATATGCATTTTTGTAATTACATGGCACCTCGTTTAAGTCTACATTAATCATATTATAATAAAAGTGTAATTACTAATTAATAATTGTTAATTTTTTCTCTAAATAATTGTATTTAGAAAATATTTTATTAATAATTACTTTGCACCTTATTCTAATTTAATATTTATTTCTTAATATTTATTTCTGTGTAATAATACTTTGGCAATTAGCTTGCATTATAATAAAAGTGTTATAATAATAATTATTATTATATCCATAAGTAATAGTTATTTTTAATTGTACCAATTAATAATAATTATGATTATTATCGTTGTTGTTAGTATTATTATTATAATAATTATTATTACTAATTTAATAGTTTTATAATAAAGATCTTGTATACTTGGCACCTTATTCTAATTCTACCTTATTAATATTTGTTTTTGCTTATTTCTTTGTTTTGTGTATTAATTCTTGGGCAATGCTGTATGTTGACAGTTATGCCAAAATAGTACTTTGAATTAAGGGGGAAAAAAAACAAAACTCTTGTTTTTTTTGTAGGCCTGGGCGATAAAACGGTATTGATATTTATAGACGGTACACCTTCTTCGATGACGATATAAAAAATGTTCGATATAGCGCACGATATAGGCACGTGCTCTGAGTCACGCAGACAGCACACACAAACATGAACACATGCTGAATTGAGTGCTGTGCCTGCCTGTGATGAGGAGATTGTGAATAAAGAATGAATATTAGTCGAATTTAAAATAAACATTTGCATTTGAATGTTAGGAGTGCGTCAGGGAGCGTCATCAGTGGAGCACGAGATGCGGTGATGTAAGTGACATTGTTGCATTTTAATGTTTTATAAGTCTAGCCCACGAGACGCGCCGCTGCTGTGTTATTCATTCAAAATATTAGAGAAATATAGAAGCTCAATGCGGAGAAGATCTTGATTAGGTGAAAACCGAAACCAAGCCATTCACACAGAACGCATATTCAGCGCATTTCTAAGTCAGATAAATACGACTGCTGCACTCAACGTCTCACAGAAGAGATGTATAGAAAGCCATGCAAAGTTAAAACAATTTAAACTTTTAGAAAACACGTCACGAATTTGTGGAGGTTTATTCTGTTTCACTGCATCTCATATGTTTTTAAAGGCAATCTTCGTGATGGGCGCTTCGGCTCTTTGGATTAAGCAATGCATAAATACATGATGCTGTTTTGTTCATAATTGTTTATGCAATTTACGAAATTATATTTGATTTTTATGAGTTAATTTAGACGTAATGCATGTTTTTTTTTATAGAGTTACTTCCTTGCGTTGACAATTTAAATGTGCTGCATTATTTTGCTCATTGCGCCCTCCTGTGGCTTCGGGAGACAAGACAAGTTTCTTTAAGACCTATTTAATCTGCATATAAAACATTAGAAATTAGATGTTTAATTTTTATTTTGTGTTTGATTGTTAAAACAAAAAATATTTGTTGTTTGTCTCAATAAATTGGGTTAATTTAAAAATACAGTGGTTAAATAAAAAACAAAATTCTATTGCTCTTGGTTTTAAAAAAGGTTATAAAAAAATGTCAATAATTATCGATACCGAACGATATGAAACATTATATCGTTGATCAATTTTTTAGCTATATCACCCAGCCCTAGTTTTTTTGTGTTGCACAACCCTGTCAGTTTTTGATGAATGATGCAGAAGCTCAACCGGAGCCGCTCACCTTGTATCGCTTCATGCAGTCTTTCTTGGAGCGTCCGGGCACGGCGTCAGAGATCTTCTCCCAGCGCTCTGCCGTGTTCACTGGGTACGTCTTCAGCGCCTGCTCCAGAAGCTTCTGCTCCTCTGTGGTCCAGGGGGAGGAGTTGGATTCAGCGCCTACAGCTGGAGGAAACGATTATGTTCAGAATGGGACTGTTTTTGCAGCACGTATACTGTGATGACTCGTAGGACTGCACTGCTGCAGGATAAATCATATTTTAATCATGATCACTATTTATGCTTCTCTCGATTTAAGCGTAATCATTTGCATTTTGCATTGGTAAGAAGCCTCCACAAGCTTTCATGGCTGCGGTTGCCAGATGCCAAGAGTTTAAATCCCCCAATCAGCTTTTTTCATAAATCAATAGATTTTCTGCCCAGTGGTTTAATCTTTACTTAATTATTTTTTTTTTTTTTTACAAAATAATCATGATTATTAATTAGCCTGCATTATAAGTGTGACAGACATTATAATATTAATTTATGCATTTAGCAGACGCTTTTATCCAAAGCGACTTTCAGGCTATACATTTTTTACCAGTATGTGTGTTCCCTGGGAATTGAACCCACAACCTTTTGCGCTGCTAACGCAACGCTCTACCACTGAGCCACAGGAACATTATTATTATTATATAACAATATTATTATTAGGAATATTATTATAATTAAGATATATATATTTAACAATCTTATTTTATTAATTACTTAGCACTTCATTCTAATTCGACCTCGTTAATAAAAGTGTGTGCCAAAGACATTATAATATTATTATTATTTAGGTATTTTTAATTTATTATTAATATCGATTATTTATAAAAAATATTTTAATTACTACCTACATTTCACAGTTCGAAAGTGTGTGAAATCCAAAGGTTGTGGGAGGGGTGTTGCTTTTCCTCATTACTGTTCTTCCTGAGAGAGAGAGAGAGAGAGAGAGAGAGAGAGAGAGAGAGAGCAGAAATACGCCGTCATCTGGTTTGATTACTATACCAGCTTCTAAAAATGGAAGTTGGTACGTGCTGATTGGCATTCAGAGCAGCAGACGGAAGTGAGTGAAAGAGAGTTCTTCCCAGATTTGGTGGGATTTTGGCCAGGGAACATATAGAGCTCCTTTCTAATATCCCCTGCCTTTGCTGTCTGCAGTGGAGTAGAGGATAAACCTACGTATGTTCTCACCTAAGGTTAATGCAAAGGTTAATGAGTAGGCATAGAATGCTTCTCTGATGAGCTAATCAAGAGCATGCTCTGCCAGAATCTATTGCTGCCTTTAAGTGCACCTGGGAAGCTGCTGCTTCCGAGATGAGCATTTGTTGTTGATTAATTATTATTATTATTATTAAAAAATGTTATTTTATTAATTACTTGGCACCTTTTTCTAATTCCACCTTACTAATCAGCTTGAATTACAATAAAAGTGTGTTACAGATATTATAAGTATTATAAAAGAATTATAATTATTATTAATAATAATAATAATAATAATAATAATGTATAATACAATATTTAGAAAATATTATTTCTAAAAAAATCTTAGTTTGATTATTCTAATTCTACCTTAATATTTGTTCTAGACAGGGTTTCTTCAGGATTTTTAAGCTCAAATTTAAGACTTTAAAGGTCCCATGACATGCTGTTTTTGGATATATACGGTTTTATCCTGATTAAAGCTTTAATACAGTACGGCAACTGCACGCTCATCCATGTTTAACGCTTCTCATAGCTATGTGAAAATAAGCGTATAATTGTAACAGTTCATTGTTGGAGGTGAGCTGTGTGTGTGTGTGTGTGTGTGTGAGAGTGAGTGAGTGAGTGAGTGAGTGAGTGAGAGAGAGAGAGAGATGCAGAGCGACGTGAGGAACAGTATTAAGAACCGCTGCTTTTGAACATTGATTTTGAATCTTGTGAATCCATTAGAATCGTTAGAAGACAGAATCGCGATTCATATATGAACAGATTTTTACGTGCACCTCTAGTTTTCTCTTCCTCTTCTCTTCTCTGCTGCCTTTTCCCGGGGGCGGGGTTTATCTGGGTTTGTGATGTCACGAACCCGGGAAGTAACTCGTTGTAGTCCCTACCAGCCGTTTTTGTAGGCATTAAACTGCCAGAATTAAAAAAAAACGATATCTCCGTTTGCATTGAACTTTCAGCTTCGTAACTTTGCAGATATCGTTTATGCTCAAACAGCAACATTACACACTAACGTTAAAAAAGTGAAATCGCAATGAACCACCCTTTAAATAAAATGGATGAGTCAAAAGTATTAATTATGTTAATTTAAACAATTATCAATAAATTATTTGAATTAAATAACACAAATACATTTTACTGTTTAGATTTTTATAATGAATTTATAATGAATATAGATATAGATATGTAGAATATATTGAAATAAATTAGATTAAGTATTTCAAGAAGGTTAGGACAATAATTAGTGTATACAATTAAACGACTACATAATTCCTTAAAAATAATAATATACAGAATTGAATAGCAAGTGCTATAAAAATAGTATGAACTGCTAATACATAAATACAAAAGAAGTTTAATCGTCACATTAAGCCATATAGCAATTCCGGTCTTTCTGTCCCCATATTTAAGACCTCCTAAAATCATAATTAAGACTTTCTTGTACAATTTAAGACTTTTTATGGCCTTAAATTTAATACAACTAAATGTAAGACTTTTAAGGACCCGCGGAAACCCTGCTAGATGTATTAATTTATGAATTAACAATATTAAAATATTAATTATTGTCATTATTTGTACGGTGTAATAATGCTTTGGCAATCAGCTTGCATTATAATAAGAGTGTTTTATGGATATTTTAATTGTAATTATTATAATTAATATTAAGATATTTAAAAATGATGAATAATAATAATAATAATATAGTAGTAGTAATAATAATAGTGGTAAATAATAAGATTTTGTTTTCTTTTTAAATAATAATAATCATTATTATTAATGTTGTGTTTGTTGTTATAATAATTATTATTATTGTATAAGTAGAAAACAAAATCTTATTATTTACTACCTTATTATTCTAATTCTACCATATCAATATTCATGATTAACCGTTTCACCATTATCATGCAACTTACCATCAAACCTCTCTGATGGCACAGCATTGTCTACAGTCTGAGGAACAACTGAATGCTCCTTCTTGAACTTCTCAAAGGCCTTTCGGTTAATCTCATCTTTCTGGTGAGGATCTGCCATCAGGAAAAGCGAATTAGCTGTACTACTTCAATCCTGCGTACGGCATAAACCCAAACCACAGTTACATACCCAGTTTCTGCAGTGTTTTTGCTTTATTGATGACGTCTTTGGCGGTTCTCTTCACGCCGCTGCTGGAGTGTTGGTTCATGTAGTTGGCAATCACCTCCCACCTGTCCGATCACAGCACATTTCAGTCAGGAGCACGGGATCATCCGTACAGTCTGTGATACAGCAGATGGTTTCCATGGAGACTCACCTGGCGTTGGTTCCGGCGGGAAACAGGTTGACGGCTTTGATGAGCAGCTGCAGGTCTTCCTCATTCCAGCCTCTGTTATTGGCTCCTCCTCCTCCTCCTGCGCTGGTGTGTTCAGCCCCACGCGCCGCCTGCTGCGCCTGCATCTCCACCTCCTTCTCCTTCTGCATCTGATCATTCACCTCCTGCACCTGCAAGCACAGAAACTAAAACCTCAGAGCAACTTACAGGACCATTCAGAAGTTTCTCTTCAGCAGGGACACATTAAATTGCTCAAATGTGGCAGTAAAGTAACTCATAATGTTTCTAAAGATTTATATTTAAAATAAATGCAGTTCTTTTGAACTTTATATTCATCAAAAATAAAATCCTAAAAACATATTACAAACTATATGGTTTCCAAATGTGATGATGATAATTATTATTATTATTAATAACAAATTATTAAATATTTGTTTTGTAAATGTAAAACTAATAATTATTAGCAGTATTTTTTATTTATATTTCAAATAAAATGTTGTTTTTTTTAACTTTCTAGTCATCAAAAAAAAAAAAAAAAAACATGATTTTTGGCAAATTATGACAATAATAATTTTTGTAATTGTAATATTATTAGTATTTTTGCTGTTCTTTTGAACTTCCTATTTAAAAAAAATCAAAATATTCTTATTAACATTATATTTTTAATTGTATTATTCATTATAATTATTTTTTAAATGTTATTAATATAATTCTATTAAAATATTTTTACTTGGCACCTTATTCTAATTCTACCTTAATCATATTTATTATTGCTTAAATTATTTTTTGTGATTATTTGTTATGTGAAATAATGCTTTGGTAATCAGCTGTCATTATAATAAGAGTGTATGTTACAGATATTATAATATTAATTATAATGATATTAAGATTTGTCAATTGTATTAATTATTATTATTAATAATAAATTATAATTATTAGTATCATTATTCATATTTATAATAAATGCTGTTCTTTAGAAATTTCTATTCATCAAAGAATCCTAAAAAAATCAAATCTCTCATGGTTTCCACAAAAATATGTGTCAGCACAACTGTTTTCAACATTGATAATAATCAGAAATGTTTCTTGAGCAGCAAATCAGCATATTAGAATGATTTCTGAAGATCATGTGACACTGAAGACTGGAGTAAATTCAGCTTTGATCACAGAAATAAATGACAGTTTAACAGATATTCACATAGAAAACAGTTATTTTCAATTAAAATAATTTTTCACAATTTATACTTTATATAAATAAATGTGTACATTTATAGCTCAACAAAGCAAAGAGTGTAAATAGGGAGCGTTTTGACCGGTTTCTGTTTCTCACCTGATTCTCCAGAGCCGCTTTACTCCGTTCTTTACTCCCAGAGGCCAAAGCTTCATTCAGCGTCTGCAAACTACAAATCAAACCAAAAACCTCAATATTCCTCCCACATGCAGCTGTGTTTGAGAAGTAAAACAACATTATATTTGCAAGCTTCACCTGGTCAGCTCCAAGCGGTCGCAGAGTTTCTCCACCTCCTCCATCATCCTGACGCCGTCGGCCTCACTGTCTGTGAAGTAGCTGTGAGTCTGAGAGAAGCAGAGAGACAGATGAGGACGGGAAGCTCTCGGACAGCTGAATGGGAATCTGACCTGAATGTGACCTGCCTTGCAGGTCGTCCTGAGCTTCTGCCGCTCTTTCTTGATGGCTTTCTTCTGGGCTTCTTTCTCTTTCTTGGCCTGCTGTGCCGCCTGTCGCGCCGCCTCCTCCTCCTTCTCCCTCCGCATCCGCGCCGCCTCCTCCTCCGCCTGACGCGCCTGCACACATACAGCAACGAGAGAGAGTCGCTTACAGACAACATATGCAGAAATATCCATATACACTAGTCAACATTTGAAGTGGATCAAAATCAAAAATCCTATATATATATATATATATATATATATATGTGGAGAGAGAGAGAGAGACAAACATATATATACAAAATTCTTTTCTTGATATATTGCTAAATATATTGTGATATTTAATCTGGTTGATAACAAGAAACAGAAGTGTTTAGAGGCACTGACCCGCTCCTTCTCCTCCTGCTCCCGTTTCTTCGCCTCAGCTTTGGCCTTCTTCTCCGACTCTTTCCTGGCTTTCTCCTCCTCTTTGAATTTCTTTATTCGCGGGTCGCAGTTGTAGGCCGTGTCTGAAACACATCACACACATTGACACAGACGCTTACAGTGAAATCAGGACCCTGTGTCTGAACCGACACTTACCAACGAGTGTCCGTATCCTGTTCATCTCCTCCTTCTTCCTCTGAGCTCGAGAGGCTCGGTTCTGTTTCTCAATCCACCTTCTCTCATCTCGACTGACAGACACACACAGCAAAATCACACACAGACGCCACAAAGCACAAAACAAAACAGTGTCATTGTAGTATAACTGAGATACTATTATAGTTGTATTAATATTTTGAATTTGCTTTAATATTTTTGGTTTTCACTTTAATTTTAAATTAAAGTTTTAGACACAAATACCACAAGTACAAAAAGGAAACAGTAATATGTTAGTATAATTGAGAAATATTTTTTTTATATTTTGAACGAGTTTTTGATTTTATATTTTGTTTTAATTTTCATTTTTATTAAAGTTTTAGACAAATATCACAAAGTACATGTAGTTTTTTATTTATATATATATATATATATATATTTTTTTTTTTTTTCCCTTTAATTTTAATTAAAGATTTTACCACAAAATACAAAAAGGAAAGTGATATTATAGTATAATTGAGAAAAAATAGTTTTTAATCAATATTTTGAATTCTTTTTTTATTTTTAGATTTTATGTTATAACTTTAATTTTAATTAACATTTTTGTAATTTTGTTGTGTGTTATTGTCATTTTTATTTTTCATTACCTTTATATGTCTATATTGTTTTTTTTTAATTAATTTTTATTTTGGTTTTAGTTACTTTTGTACATCAACTTAAACTCAATAAAAATGAGAAATATTGCCTAGTAACTTTTTTTAAATAATTTATTTCATTTATTTTAAGTGACAGGATTTTTATGGTTTAGTGTGTTAACTATAATAACCCTGCGCAGTAATACTTACAATATTACAAAATAGTAAACCAAAACCAATAACATATGATCACAAAATATTATTCACCATTCAGCTTTTTCCTTTTCCTCCTCATCTAAATATGAAAATTCTCTCCACGAGTCAAAGTTGTACCTTCAGAAACAAAAGGAAAACAATTCATATTATTTGTTTTGTTTCTCTGGCATTAGTTTGGTTCAAAATCTATGATTAAATTTGATATTTTACTTACCAAAAGGAATAGAAATTATCCACCTCTTCAAAAGACGCGTCCATGCTTCCCAGACTCGAGATGTGTTTTTTAACAGACCACCTGATTGAGAGAAACACAGCAGCGTGATCTCAATGCACTGAACCGGAATCATCTGAATCAGTCACGAGAGGCGTTTACCTGCTGTTCCTCTCAAACACCGGCGCAAACACCACGAAGAAGTTTTCTTTGCCTTCTGCTTTTGAAGGAACCATGTTGTCAAACGTGGGATCCACGCTGTCAAACGCTCTCCGCTTCACGGGATCCGACAGCATCTCCATCGCTGCATCACACGAGAGCAGATCAAGGATCTGAAGACTGATTTTCAAACACAAATGCCTTTAATTTCACTTATGCTAAAGCAATAAAGTCCAAACCTTTTGTTATGCAAGTGAAATAATCATTATCGCCCTCCACAATCTGCTCTCCTGCTGCTTTCCGCTTGTCCGGGTGATGTTTGAGGACCATGGCTTTATCTGTGGAGAACAACAGCATGTTACTGCGAAATAGCTTGAGTATTTTGAAGTCTCTTCTGCTCACCGAAAAATTTGAAATATTATTACAATTAAAAAAAAACTGCCTTCTATGTGAGCATATAGTAAATTGTAATTTATTCCTGTGATCAAAGCTGGATTTTCAGCATCATTACTCCAGTCTTCAGTGTCACATGATCTTCAGAAATCATTCTAATATGCTGATCAAGAAACATTTCTGATTATTATCAATGTTGAAAACAGTTGTGCTGCCCAATATTTTTGTGGAAATAAATTATTTTCAGGATTCTTTGATTAATAGAAAGTTCAAAAGAACAGCATTTATTTGAACTAGATACATTATAAATGTCTTTGCTGTCACTTTTGAGTTCAGTTCAGTTCATTCTAATCATGAATGAACTGAATCATGAATCATTTTGAGTTCAGTTCAGTTCATTTTGAGTTACTTTAAAAATAAAAAATCTTTCTGACCCCAAACTTTTGAAAGGTAGTTTATCACGTTTCCACAAAAATATTCGGCAACACAACTGTTTTCAACATTGATAATCAGAAATGTTTCTGGAGTGACACTGAAGACTGGAGTAATGATGCTGAAAATTCAGCTTTAATCACAGAAATAAATTACAGTTTAACAGATATTCACATAGAAAACCGCTATATTAAATGCTATTAATATCTAACAATTTTTACTGTATTTATGATCAAATAAATGCAGCCTTGCTGAGCAGAAGAGACTGCTTTCACATTATCTTAATTATTCTAAACCTTTGAGCAGCATTATACAATGATTTCCAAAAGCGGAATTTTCACCAGCCATAACTTTAGGCTGCAAAGTCACATGAGCCTTCAGAAAACATTCTAATATGCTGATCAAGAAACATTTCTGATTATTATCAATGTTGAAAACAGTTGTGCTGCCCAATATTTTTGTGGAAATAAATTATTTTCAGGATTCTTTGATTAATAGAAAGTTCAAAAGAACAGCATTTATTTGAACTAGATACATTATAAATGTCTTTGCTGTCACTTTTGAGTTCAGTTCAGTTCATTCTAATCATGAATGAACTGAATCATGAATCATTTTGAGTTCAGTTCAGTTCATTTTGAGTTACTTTAAAAATAAAAAATCTTTCTGACCCCAAACTTTTGAAAGGTAGTTTATCACGTTTCCACAAAAATATTCGGCAACACAACTGTTTTCAACATTGATAATCAGAAATGTTTCTGGAGTGACACTGAAGACTGGAGTAATGATGCTGAAAATTCAGCTTTAATCACAGAAATAAATTACAGTTTAACAGATATTCACATAGAAAACCGCTATATTAAATGCTATTAATATCTAACAATTTTTACTGTATTTATGATCAAATAAATGCAGCCTTGCTGAGCAGAAGAGACTGCTTTCACATTATCTTAATTATTCTAAACCTTTGAGCAGCATTATACAATGATTTCCAAACACACACAAACTCAAACTTACGAGCAGCTTTGATCTGTTTCTGGGTTGCTTTGTACCTGACGTGTGCGAGACCTAAAACAGCGTAGTGATCTTGGTTCTGTAACATCAAGAAAAGCGTGTCAATACTCCTCCAGCTGCAGCTCCTCATCCTCCTCTTCCTCAGACAGCTCCTCCTCTTCCTCCAGCTCTTGAAACGAGGCCGACACATTTCGACTCCTGCGCTTCAGAAACGCCTCGAACCAGCGACCCACTGGCTCAACCTGAACCTGCTCTGAGGCTGAGACAAAGATTGTACACATTTCATAAAAAACATACACAGCACATTGAAGGTAATTTCTTATATTAATTCTATTTTTATTCGATTTTGTTATGCCATCCAAAAAGGAACACCACAAAACAGAGAACAAATACAACTTTCACACCCCAACATACACACACACACATATACATATATATATATACACACTCTACCGCTCAAAAGTTTGGGATCAATAAGTCTTCTGCTCATCAAGGCTGCATTTATTTGATCAAAAATACAGAAAAAAAACAGTCATCTTGCTAAATGTTATTACAATATAAAATAATGGTTTCTATTTGAATATCCTTTAAAATATAATTTATTTCTGTGATCAAAGCTGAATTTCCATCATCATTACTCCAGATGTGACACTGAAGACTGGAGTAATGATGCTGAAAATTCAGCTTTGTATCACAGAAATAAATTAGATTTTAATGTATATTAAAACAGAAAAATGCTATTTTACATCGTAATAATATTTCACTATATTACATTTTTTCCTGTATTTTTGATCAAATAAATGCAGCCTTGATGAACATAAGAAACTACTTTAAAAAACATTAAAAATCATTCTGATCTCAAACTTTTGACAGTGTATATACCGATCAGGCATAACATTATGACCACCTTCCTAATATTGTGTTGATCCCACTTTTGCTGCCAAAACAGCCCTGACCCATCGAGGCATACACTGTGCAGTGTGCTGTGGTATCTGGCATGTTAGCAGCAGATCCTTTAAGTCCTGTAAGCTGCGCGGTGGGGCCTTTATGGATCGGACTTGTTTGTTCAGCACATCCCACAGATGCTCGATCGGATTGACGCAACAAACTGCGATGCACTGTGTATTCTGACACCTTTCCATCAGAACCAGCATTAACTTCTTGAGCAGTTTGAGCTCCAGTAGCTCGTTTGTTTGTTCGGACCACACGGGCCAGCCTTCGCTCTACACGTGCATCAATGAGCTTTGGCCGGTTCACCACTGATCCTTCCTTGGACCACTTTTAATAGACAGACCGGGAACACCCCACAAGAGCTGCAGTTTTGGAGATGCTCTGACCCAGTCGTCTAGCCATCACAATTTGGCCCTTGTCAAACTCGCTCAAATCCTTACCCCTGTCCATTTTTCCTGCTTCTAACACATCAACTTTGAGGACAAAATGTTCACTTGCTGCCTAATATATCCCACCCACTAACAGCTGCCGTGATGAAGAAATAATCAGTGTTATTCACTTCACCTGTCAGTGGTCGTAATGTTATGCCTGATCGGTGAATATATAGCATCTAAATTATGTCATAAATTAACATAAGAAAATTACTTACATTACAATTGCACTTAGCAGTACAGTATTTGTTATTGTTTATTAAAAATACATCACTTCACTGATTTTTTGTTTTACATTGCACATTATCTACTTAACAAATTATATAAATCTTACTAAGATGACTTTTTACTTTGTTTTCACTATATTTTGAGAAAAACCTTTCTTTACATAAACTGAAATCAATTTAGAATTAATGCAAATAAGTTTGGTGACAGACACAGCTGATCATTTGTTTCTGTGTTTTCATTCAATTCAGCTCTCAGCGATAAAGCATGCCAATACGACCTAATCACAACAACTGAATACGAGAAGTCTTTCTAATAAGGTGTGATGTGTCCAGATGAGTGTTTGTCAGCAGGATGATGCAGATCTGAATCTCTCTCTCATCATTACTGTCACACTCACCGGCGACCGCGTTATAAAGCGCTGTAAGCTGCCCGTCTGACGCCTCCTTCAGCATCTTCACTAGTTCACACACACGGACGACCTAAAGAGCTCGCATTAGCGTGAAAGATCGGCTCGATTCGGGTATTTCTAAGCCGCTGTTTCGCCCGGGTCTGCCAGATCCACATGGGCCGCGCACAGCTGTCTGCTGGGGAACTCTGTGTTACATTCACAGCCTTCCGCTGCGCTGCCGCGTGATGACATTTGGTTCCGCTACTACAGAGTTCCAATTAGACCAATTCACCATGGTAACGATAATTCCCGCCAAAACACTACTTAAGTTTATTACTGTAAAACCAAAATAATAGTTTTTTTCCCCAAATCAATGTAAAAAGCAGAATAACCTTCTGTACAACAGTGCCTGACTAATATGACACTACAGTTTTATAGGAGTTACTAGTCAAATGATGGCATTTTGCTAGAAATTATGGCAAATTTATTTATTTTTATATGCATTTATTTATTTTATATGCAATAATTTTAAATAAGCTTAAAAATTAGAATAAGGCTTTAATTTTCTACAACTTTTACTCATTACTGAATAATATAGTAACATAATTATTTATATAGTGAATAATGTGATTCTATAATATACTGTAATACAGTATTTACAGAAAAGATACTGTAATACAATTTTTTAAATTAAATAAGCATGAATTAAGGATATAGGATATATAAATGCAATGTAATTTAAATATTACATTTGCAGTATAGCAATAAAAACAATATAGGAAAAAATCTATTACATTATAGATAAATGATATGAATAAATTATTATTATTAATACCCTATAAGGATTTAAGATGCCAGCTGAACGATTAGAATTGGCAGTATTTGTCTTGTGATTCATCAGAAAATGCCATTTTAATTGATCACAATTCACATTTCTTCCATGTGATACAATCTTTATTGACAAATAAAAATATCCATTATGAACATCTGTACAGATTACAGTAAACATACAGAAACTGTTGGCATCTCAGAACAGGTAAGAGACAGTCTGACTCACAAACCTGTAAATCTACCAAAACACTCCTCAGGCCGTCTGTAGTTTACAGTTCACGCCTCACATAGCATCAGTATGTGGAAACCCGAAACATTAGACTGTACATCTCGTGTGGCGAATAACTTCACCATAACAATCCTGTTTTTTGTTTTAATAAAGGACGTAGTCCAAATGTTTTAGGAAATGTACATTTAGTTAGTTTAGCTGTTGACACTTCACATCTCAGTGTAATCTAAAGGAAAGTGTTATGTGTACAACCGCTCAATCCAAGCGAACGACTGGCACTGACCTGTTCATTTTCACATATCAAAACACATCCGCAACACACACAAACTAAACATGAGCTGGAGGGACGTGTTGGGGTTCAGTGTGATTACAGCAGATCTGAGATCATTTTTGTAGTGAAATAGGACCTGTGCATGTTCTTGACTGGCTCCGTGAGATTCGCCCGTAAGCATTTTTTCTTTTCTCTGACAAAATTCACAGTTCTGTTCTTGTCAAAATCACCTAAAGAAAGACCTCATAGAAGAGTTAAGAGCAGAAAAGATTAATACATTTGCATTGTAGTTAAAAACCATCATACATTATTTGTCATCTTCTGTCTTTTAGTATACCTACAAACGTTTATTTTTTAATCAAAGCACAAGATGAGATTACGACCCTCCTGCTCACCATCTAATTCCCAGAAATCTCATCGACTGGAATCTCTGATGCTTTCAGGAATCCAGTTATCCGGTCAGGAGCAGCAGTGAAGGGGGCTTTTAAAGGGCTCGTCTGAGTCTTAAAGGGAAGTCTGGGGTCACGACAGAGCTAACGGACTGAATTCAGAAAGGTCAAATGCTGAAAAAGCCACGTGGAATGAAACTGACATTCCCTACAGTTGGCATCTCAGAACAGGTAAGAGACAGTCTGACTCACAAACCTGTAAATCTACCAAAACACTCCTCAGGCCGTCTGTAGTTTACAGTTCACGCCTCACATAGCATCAGTATGTGGAAACCCGAAACATTAGACTGTACATCTCGTGTGGCGAATAACTTCACCATAACAATCCTGTTTTTTGTTTTAATAAAGGACGTAGTCCAAATGTTTTAGGAAATGTACATTTAGTTAGTTTAGCTGTTGACACTTCACATCTCAGTGTAATCTAAAGGAAAGTGTTATGTGTACAACCGCTCAATCCAAGCGAACGACTGGCACTGACCTGTTCATTTTCACATATCAAAACACATCCGCAACACACACAAACTAAACATGAGCTGGAGGGACGTGTTGGGGTTCAGTGTGATTACAGCAGATCTGAGATCAGCCCACTCACAGCCACTGGAGAGATGCATTCAGAGCAGCATCCATCAACTAATGTGCATCAGTGTTTCAAACAAAAAACAATGACAGTACAATGAGTTGTTAAACGTTTCAAAGGAGGAAAAAGGCACCCAATCCTCACATCTGACAGATATTCAAGGCTTTGCTGGTGCCAAAAATTAATTTGGGTTAATCTCACGAAACATTTACAGCTCATATTTCGTCTTATATATATATATATATATCAATATCATTTTTTTAATGGAAAATGTAGCCTATTTCAATGACCATTTAAATTTTTTTATATTGTGATCTATAAAGATAGATTTTTTGGCATAAAGAAAATGAAATCTATTTTAATGACTTAATTTAAAAAAAATATTTAATCTCCCTAAAATTTATATATATATAATTTTTAATAGGAAAATTAAGCCCATTTCAATGACCAATTCGATTTTTATTCCCATTTTTAATTGTGATACTTATTAGATTTTTTATTACTGCAATACAGTATTTACAGTACAAAATAGTTAAATAAGCATGAATTAAGGGCAGTAAAACAAATAATATACAATATAATTTAAGTAAATAATAATAAAAATAAATTGTGCATTATAGTAATAATAAAATAGGAAAAATGTGTCAGAAAATTCTAATGGTCTTAAAAATAGGCTGCTTTATCTTT